CCGTAAACTCCAAGGCGCCGATTGTAGCCGTGATAGGCTCCTGAGCGACGTCCGTACCCTCCGTAGGCTCCTGACGAACGACCGTATGCACCATAGCCGCCGAGGCCGCTGTTGCCGTAGTTGCCGCCGTATCCGTTATATCCCAGTCCGTGGTTTCCGTAGCCGTTCAAGCTGCGCCCGTAATCACGTCCGGAGCGCCTGTTGCCGTAGTAGGCCTGGCCGTAGTTACCTTTGTACAGGGCCCGGTTGTCGTAGCCGCCGAAGCTGCGAGCCCGTCTGCTGACGCCGCTCCTAAAAAGAGTGTCGGTGCTTTAGTTCTTCTAGTTTTTTCACTACCGGTCCACGACTAAAAATGTCATCGATTGGTGTTTGTTTCGTTTTTGGGTTTTTTGTTGGTTTGTGTTTCGTTTCCACCATGCGGAATTGCGAATGGCCAGGAGTGTGAAGTATGCCACTGGCTCACACATGTTATCCAATACATAACCAAACATTCAATGTTGGTGATGAGTTCATGCGCCGAGCTCAGTGCAAATAAACGCCAAAAATGTCCTTATCCTCGACAAAATTGTAGAAATCGAGCCGCATTCAAATTTGTGGACAGCCTGGCGAAACGTAAGATGAGAAGTACATGCATCGAAATACCTGCATATCCTCCCAAGGCGGAAGAGTACCCGCTGGCCTGGGGCTCTTGGTCTGTCTTCTTGTCTTCGGTGGCGGCCGTCAGAGCTACCAGCGCAGCCAGAAACAACACAGCTTCATGGTTCTCGTCTGGTAGCTCTTTGAACACTGAAGGAGAGACACTGATGCCTCCACATGGGCGCGTTCTCTCTTTACTCGTGGAAACGGTAGCGGCAAGCCAAGGAGATGCGTGACAGGGTTAACCGCACTGATCTGCGCTCTGCAATGCTGTGTAGACATTGCGGTTTGGAAAACAAGCTGGGAGAGCATAGCGACAGTCTCGGCGGAGACGGGCTTCTCTGCGCTGAACAGCGCAGTGTTCAGGCCACTTAATACAGAGAATGAGCTTAGCATCCATACAAAGAAGTGCAGCGCGATGTAAGACAATATACCTAAGATCAACATCCACGTTGTACATATCACGCTGAACATATCCGATCTTTGATTATAATTTCCAGCACATTTTTTAGCGAAAAAGTCACCGTCGTACGCTCGTTTTTGCCCGATCCTTATATATGTGAGTGTATGTGTTTGTGCATTATCCGTAGCATTTTGTTGTTTTTTGTGAAGCAATGTGGAGCGGTCTCGAAAATTCTCTTAGACCAGCCTGGCTGCTTACAAGCATACGTGAGCAAAACATCTCAGAAAGCGTGGGAGCTAAAACCAATTTCGAAATCCATTTTTATCAGGGCCGCAATTATCAGGGCCGCAAAGGGACGGGAACCGCTGCGGGGAGGTTACTCCACCTCGAGCTGCCGCGGTAGCTGCGTGTTGCGTCCCGCACTTTTGCACAACATTGAAAGGACACCAGCAGGAAAAATACCGCCATATTTCTATGAATCGCTGCTTTTGACGCGCGTTTCTAAAGGCCATCATTCATTTAGCACCAAAGAATTGCTTGCGTTGTGGTCTGAAGCCATCCGAAGAAAATAACTTCCATGCAAATGTTGCAGATGCACACATTAAGTGTCCGGTAAAATATATTATTAAATTTTAAATAATTATTTAAAGATACAACTTAATTATTTAATATATATATATATAATATATATTTATATTTTGTATATATAGTTATATATAATTATAATAATAATATAAAAAAGGTAAATATTAAATAAATTCACCGCACTTGGGGCATTCCTCCCACCAAATACATGGATATCAGCCGGCGGGGTTCACACACCGCATTTGGGCCCAAAACACATAGCACCAAAATCACTGAACCAACTTAAAGCTGAAGATGTAATGAACCAAACTGCCATCACTCCCGCAACACAAATGGACACAATCACAAAATGGAAACTAAAAACGGATTCACAGACGCTTGGTATTGGTCTTTACTCTGTGACGCTTGCAGCGTGAATTTGTGCAGAGCACATGTCGAAACGCCGAAGTTTCGCTGCATCAGGAAGTTCTAGTCGTGAGGAACGTGCCTACGCTGTTGCATGTAGAGATCCCATTTTTGAGCTGTTTTAACACGCACATATCGGGTTTGCGGGCCTAAAAGCGGCACCTTCTAGCATAAATGACGTCTAAAAACCGTTTATTATTGGCACAGCGGGCGGCAAGCCAGTCACCGATAACTTTTTGAGTGCGCCAGTGTTCTTCTTGTGTTATCCCCAAGCGATCTTAGAAACTACCTGGGGTGGGGACGTTAAACCGGTTACGTGGGAACCCGACACAAAATATTTCTTTTATCGGCTCAGGTCGTCCGGTGCAACATATTTACCTTATTTGGACTTGTTATATTTCATATGGATTTACTATATGATTTACCGCACAGCATATTTGCTATAATTGGCTTAGGCCGTCCGGCGCTAGCCGGCAAACCCAAATTAAGGATGACATGGATTTAAAAAGTTCGATATTTCCACACCACTCAAGCAAACACAGCAGTATACAGTAAATGGAGTAGACGGCAGATCAGTGTTCATCGCAGCAACATGGGAGCCCATGGCACAGTCGCAACAGGGATCTTATTTGGAAGTGAGTGCCTCATTCGCCACCAGAAAATACGAATGAAGGTATATTCGAATTAAGATTGGAGATAGAACTTCAACTTTAAAATCAAATTCAAAGCTCTTGTTTACAGGTGTTGGTGCAAATCTTACGCGTAGTTGCATTTACATTAAAACTTAGAGAACAGAACTCTGGCATTTAATACAAGTCCAACCCGTCTTGCTGATGCGTTTTATAAGATCTTAGAGAATCCCTGACTAACAAAAACGAGTCCAGTCCCTCCGCGCTTCAGCTCCGAGAAGCAGATCTGTCATCGTACGCCAACTGCAACACGAGGCTTTCTGCCAGGAGTTGGCTGTCTGCCAAGAGATGCCGGAGGAAGCTCGCCAACCCCTGATCCTGCCGAGAGGTAGCCGTGTGACGTGGATGTGGATGTGATGACGTCGCTTCTGATCACGGCAGAAGCTGATGTACGCAGGGGCGGATCACGCCTTCAACAGCCTGCGATAGAACTGGATCCTGTGAGCGAGAGAAGCGGTTAAGAAGGATGTACACGCCTGCATCGCCCTTCGATGACGACACGACAGACTCTGTTAGCCGCGCATGGATGATTGCCGGCAGCCATATTTGATATTCACTGCGGCTTCAGCTTCGTTGAAATCGAATTCTTTGTCCCCTGGTCATTAAGACTGGTTGACAGGACGGCTGCCAGAAGAGATATCGCCTGCTGATAGCATGCATTGCTGCACGCGCCATACATCTCGAATGTCTTTGAACATATGCATTTTTCTGATGATGCTGAGGAGGTCATCGCGAGGAGATGGTTCATTTACGGACGGAAGGACGGAATCATGACGAACGGTGTTATGGTTTAATGGGTGCGTCGACGGAAGCGGTCATTTTGCGTCCACTACTTGGCAGGTGGTGTTCATTTCATCGACGCCTGCGTACAGTGCACTAAGCGTTCCAGGTCGTCAAGCCTGAGTTAAACGTATCAAATTCGGGTCATACACAGTCACGGGTATAAAAGAAGTGAGTAGATTAGTTGTGTAGTGTA